CCCTCGTTGAAAGGCGGAAAAGGTAACATGGATGTTGCCAAGCTAGATACCTCATTAGTAACATTGGTTGCCATATTGTCCAAATTCAGATTACGTAGGGTTCACCAATTTGAAGTGGGCCCGCTGGAAGAGGAACGATATTATATGGCTTGTGCGCGCTAAAATGAATATATGTCAGAGGCCCAATGATTTCTAAATAAAAGATGTGAAATATAACAGGTGAAACAAAAATGGTCAACAGAACGAGCGTATTCAAAAATTTATGCAATTTTTTTATAAATCTTATACAAAAGTATGTGTTTGGATTAAAAGAACATGAATAAACAATGAATCAAGTAATGATGGCAGAAGTAAAAAAAAATAATGGGATACTTACCGGCTAAAAGATCTAAATTATATAACTGTAACAAAATGTTGAAAGTAGAGTCCATGCAAGTTTGCATGTAAGTCTACAGTTCGAAACTTCAGTTCAAATGTCCGGGAAAAGTGTTTAAATTTGATGGTTAAATACAATGATGAAACTTTCGTAGTATTTTAATCGAAGTGTACAGAGTACGTTATTTGAAGTCTGGACGATATCGCAATGAGAAGAAAGTTCAATTTAAATGCCGGGTGCTGTCGTTGAGTAGTTCGTGTGTTTGAGTCTGGATGATATGCATGCAGCAATTTCCTAAGTCAGTTTAGTTACGTTGACAGAAAAAAAGGAAGCAGGAAAAGCCGTAGGTGGGCACCATGGTGTAGCCAGAAGTTTCTGGCCGGTGTAAGTATTCTGATTAACGTTGATAAACCGGGTGGGTTACGTTGAGATAGAAAAGACGGAATTAGAGACCAATGCGTAGCCGTGAGTCACAAAGGTCAGGAATACCGAAAGTAAGTGCTTGTAGTATCCGGAAGTATTGTCATGTGGTAGCTTAGGTCAGGATTGCAAAAAGTAAGCATCCAAAATAGCTGGAAGTAGTAAAAGTGTGACGGAAGTAAGAATGAGTAAGAAAGCCCAAATAGCGTCCAGTTGTCAGAATAAAAATAAAAGGGCACGTAACTCAATACAAAACCGTGCAAACGCCCTGGTCGTAATGTCCTCCTTCAATTTCGGCGAGAAGTTGCAGGAGTAATTTAAAAGCGAGCATAGAGACTAACTGGTCCTGCATATCTACTTAATATTTAAAGATAATAAATTCAGGGTTGCTACAAAGTATAAAAATTGTAAAAATTTTCAGAAAGAGCATCCAGGCTAAGGTCTTTATATTGAAACAACATAAAATACATTAAGGTTATTATAAATCTAAAATAGACATAGTATAGTAAATTGAAGAATGTGGGAAAGCGCAATGAAGAAAAGATCAAGATCATGAAAATAATGTCTGCTCTTGATCACGTGTACGATATAGCCAAAAGGCTACGATATATTATACCAGTGTACTTTACCCCATCTTCTTGCCGTCATCTCTAATACTGTTGATGCTTTTATTGCCATGATTATTCTTCGTTTATTCCTGCACGATGTTTTATTGAGAGACTAAATCTAGTTATCTCGCAATTGACGCATCGACAGTTCTTACGCCCTTCAATAAACCAAATTTTTAATACTACAGTTTTGCTAACAACACTCCTCACACCAGTTTGGATAATTATCCTACATGTCCTAATGGCATGGATTATAAAATTATAAAAATATCAGAAATTTGAATCATTATGCTTTCAATTTGTTTAAAACTGTGTCTAGATTATTAAACAACATTTCTATGATATTTATAAGTCTAATTGGCAAGACGTTATGTTTGAATATTTATACGTAATTAGGAGATATTTCAATTATGAAAACATTAGAAAATGATGCCACGCTATTAGAAAAAGCAACAATAAGCATCATTTATCTAAGAAAATTTATTTACCAAAAAGATTCCACCATTTTCAACAAACGCTGAATAGCACCGTAGACTACACTTTGCCAGATAAGAGAGATTAATTTTAAGAATTTTTGGATGTATCCTGGGTGACCAATTTCAGCAGCCCAAGATTTTAATACTAGGAGACCTCACTTGTACATACTGTACAATTTTTTTCAACTGGAAATATCACCATTTTCATTTCCCAAGTATTTTGGTTATTTCGTAGTCATGCTGCTTTGTTTCAATTTTAATATTTGAAATTTTTTTTAAATATAATTCAAAGGTATAATGTGTCATAGCTCAGAGTGATTTAAAAAGCCCAGGCAATAATTTCCACAGTACCAAGCGAATAGGCAACCATGTTTAGTGTTTCATGTAGGAAAACATAACTGAAAGCTACAACACTCAAGCCCGTTTAAATTTGACTTCTTTTCGCTTGTGCAGATCAATATGTTAACTAGTACTGCATACTGTCAGCTGGCCACATTGCTTTCTTTATATGACTTTGAAAACACTATATCATCTGGCATGCTATCATTCACGAAATGTTATTCTAATACTTGAATGGTATATATTTTTCAAGAATTATATGTAGCAAAGTGATAACGAAATATCTATATCACCGACCATTTGCCTATATAATTTTACTTGGGGAAAAATCACACACAAATAATATTTTTTTAAACATTTTTATGGGAGAGAAAAATATTACGCACAATTTATCGTCAGAAATGCAAAATATTTTTTTATTGCTTACATTTGTCTTCAGTTAATTTCGAAACACGATGAGGTCGATGGCTTGTGTTTAAAAAAGAAAGAAATTATGTAACGATGTTGCATTTACTAAACATTAGCTTACCACATGGAGAGGACGACCATTGCTGTCTAGTTATGCTTCAAGCAATATAATAAGGTTCGAAAATAATTTTCGCAAGTATTTTAGAATACAGCATAACTGAAAGTGTTTTATTGGAAGCTGATACATTTTTTAAACAAAATATAAATCTCATAAAAGAAGGGTAATAAAAAAAGAATAAAGTATGTCATATATTTCCTATTGCCCATTTGAATAAAAAAACATTAAAAAGACAGTATTTACATTAGATAATTATTCTGGAAAATATAATTTTTTTGTTCACACATAAAAATGATAATTACATTTAATAATATTTGAAAAATGTTACCGGATTATTTCAATATATTAAAATTAATATAGATTACGATAATTATTATATTTTATACTTTTTTTTATTTTTCAAATAAACATAGTCTAGTCTATTTGGACACGATCACAGAATGTAGAACATTCAATTGTAATTTTCACAATAAAATTAAATTAAAAAAGATGGTGCTACATATTTAATAGTGTGGTTATAGGAACTCTATATTATATGCGTCTTGGAATATGTGATCTTATTAAAAAAAAGATTTGTAATAACATATCTTTGGTGTGTCAAATTTTATTATGTAAACAAATTCAAACAAATTGTTTTATTTGTTCAATTATTTTAATTATTTCACTAAGAAATGCACTAAGAAGCAACAGTTAATAAGTATTAGAGAATCTGAGAAAAGTCAATCTTTATTAAGGATAGAGAACTATAAAATGAGAGGAATAAAGGAAAAAGAATAAACGATTATCATTGCATTTAATGTAAATTTAACTGGAAATAAAGTAGCCAAAAAGAGAGTTCCAAAGCGAGAATTGAAGATGAAGAAACTGTAATCATAGAACTTACGGTTATATTTAGTCATTTAACCTGGTAAATGATGAGACATTACCGCTAATCAATTTATGCAATTAAATTTACAATGTCTAGTTAACAAAGAGGAAAAGTAGCCATGAAAATATTAATGGAAAAGGCACAGGAAAGCTACGTTATGGTGGTGGGTAAATAACTGAAAAAAATGTGACATATCACGATTATTAGCTTTGCAGATTTACCTTTACATTTTATCAAGTATCTCAGGATGTAAATCGTATGTAACCGATCAGAAGTGATAGCAATATACAATGCAAAAACGTATTCATAAATAAATGTAAAGTGTAGTTAATTATTTCAATATTCCATAGATCTGATTACATTATCTATCTTTCTTAATCGTAGTATATGTTAGTTGAAATTTTATAATCTCTTCCATTTATTGTGTTAGATTTTTCTTCCCACATTTAACATTTTTACGGTCTGTTTATGTTGATTACAGGATATATATAAGACTGGAATTCGATTTTCCTACGGATATGTTAATATGAGTGACCACATGATTTCTATTTGATTATTATTTGTAGACATTGCGAAGCATTCCATTAGTTTGATTGATTTGTAAAGAAACTAGGTTAAGAGGGTAAGAGCAATCTCTACGGAAATTGATGCGCGTTTTAATTATACTTGATATCAGACATGTTTTTGTGAATTGTTCTCCAAGTTAGTTATCATCTTAAATTATTATGGCGACATTATCAAATTTGAAGGGACGTATACATGTAACTCCTGAGTGTAAAAGACAGAGACATTATTTCAAGCAATACTGTTGTCATCTAAAAAGGTTTGGATGACAATTACTATGAAGGAATGATCCTAAAGACCTACTACCCGATCTATGAAATTTGGCACAGCGTTCATTGCTGGATTTATACTTGACAAATGTGTTTTCATATAATTCTGCTAAAATAAACGTTTTTCTTTGCGATGATCAATTACATGTTGTAATCAACTTTTACTGTTTTTTATACTTGTCATATATGTTATATACTGTGGTTGTCTTTTAATGCAGTATGCGTAAAATTCAATATCACAGAACAACATAAAAGGATACCTGGTTCGGTGATGAGATGTCCAACACACGTAGGTGAAAATCAGCCATTCAACCGTTTTCAATAATTACTCGAGAGCGGAACATGTGTGGACGTGTCTGCGCTTGATATATACACACGTGAGAAAACCTATTGCACGCATGGATAAACAGATATAAATCCTGCTCCCAGAGAGGATTTGGACAATTTTTATTAAATCGATATCACATATTTAAGGTTGAAATTGGATTCAATTCATTAATGAGACGGGCACAAAATGTCGAGTTAAATAATGTGTAATGTTCAACATGTATTACTCAATTATCTTGTACTTGCTTATTCTCAGCCATGGATTCCTGGGACCGTCGAATGGACGTTGCCGCAGCTTTCGTTGCGTTACGTGCGGTTTTCTCAGCCATGGATTCCTGGGACCGTCGAATGGAAGTTGCAGCGTTGTCGGCTGCATTGCGAGTAGCTTTTCGAATCGGGCTCTGTCGAGTCCGCAAAAGCGCATATGATGAAGCCGCTTTTTTGTTTTCTTGCAAGCGTCTAGGTAGTTTCCTCTTACTTTTCAACGAATGTGTGTAAACTGATTTGCAGTACAAACGGTAGATACGCTCACCAAGCGTTTCATGTGACAAAACATACAGCCTCCTTTGAGATTGACTGGAAAGCCTCAAAGAGGCCTCTAACTCGGTTTCCTCCTTCAGCTTTCTCTTTGCCGCAGAGGCTCTTTTACAACGTTTGCTAAGGTTACCTTGCCAGGGTATTTTGGCACGCTTAGCAAAGCTGCCGGGTCGGTCATCGTCACGACACTCAGAAGAGTGCAAAGCAGATATTGAAGTAGACGCCAGCCGCTTCTCCCCCAAGGAGGCGCACTCAATGGAATCCGTTTCCCCTTAGTCAGTGAGGCTTTTTTAGAACGCCTGTTAGGTTGCCACGCCTGGGTGTTTTTACAGTCTTTGCAGAGCTGCCTCGTTGGTCATCGCCACGGCACGCAGAAGAGTGCAAAGCAGAAGTTGAAGTAGACGCTATATGATCATCTGTAACCGGAGTTATTATGCGCTCCTCCGCAGTCGCCTGTTCTGCATGTGTAACGTTAACGGTATTAGGGGTTTTCAGTTACTAACGTGTTGATGTTCGTCGTGTAGGAACCATTAGAAGGGTTGTAGAAATGCTGTGTAAGAATACGAATAGAAGTTGATGCCGAAGCTAAAATGGTGCAACCATGTTGTATACGAAAACTAAAAATGCAGTGGAGCGGTATGAAAAAGCTTCCCCTAGCTATGGGCCGTGCTTTCTGGCAGCACGAAAACGTCGCTGTAGGAAGAGGTTTCGCAGCCAAAACGTTGAAGAGTTGAAGTTTAAAAAGTAGTGAAACACTGAGGTGTACTAGGCCGCGTAGTAAAGGAAGAAGAGAAGTAACTTGCGACAGCAGTTAACTGTCTAATAGCAAAACTGAACTACGAAAAGGTAGAAATAGGTATGGAACGCTAAGATGGACTGGGCTGCGCAGTAGAGGCAGCACGCAGAGATAAAATGGGTAATTCAAACGTTTAAGCTCATCCGGATTCCTCTCTCCTCAAGGCAGAAAGCTTAACAGTTGAACAATTTGGTCGAATCTTCAAATGATATTTCACTTGTCTCTTGTATGGAGTCCCACGTCGGTTTATGTGAATTAACCACTAGTCTACATACACAGGTGATATGATTAGAGAGTTCCAGGTTAGTGAACACCCAGTCAGTCATTTTTGAAAAAATTGATAACTAATACATAATGCAGAACGTGTCTCAGATTCTTCCAACAAGAACATATTTTTCGTTTAAATTCCCTAACCTGTCAGTCATTAAAGACAGGATATCCAGTATATCAAACTGATTGAACTATAACGTTAAGGCAATATATACAAAGAGAATTTACGCGAAGTGAGTGAAAGGGAATGGGACAGAATTTGCGCACGGCTCTTCAATATCACTTAACGCGCTGTTAACACATGAACCACCCGCACATCGACATTGCAGTTTTTGTTGTAAATGAAAAAAACAAAAACAAGATTTGTTACAAAAGATGACCTGGATAATTTCGTAATATGTTTTTTTTTCTATTTTTTATCTACCAACCCTTTAAATTTCAAAGGCGGTATATTTTAAATTATTATATTTAGTAAGACAAAAATAAATATCAATTAGTTTATTTTGTGAATGAATAAATATGGTTATCCATAAAGGCAAACACACAAACATGCACACATATATATATATATATATATATATATATATATATATATATATATATATATATATATATAGGACGTGTCTTATGACGTGGCTTCCCCCAGACTTTTCTACAAATATTTTCATGGTAATTGCTCTGAGGAACTTTGTTCTCTCGTTCATGGACTGCAGTTAAATTAGTTAAATGTAACCATTCCTTCGACTTAGCCAGCTTCTTTTCTTGCACTTCCCGCCTTTTTGAATCCTTACCGTTTCCTTTGATTCACTGATGACTAAAATCTTGATAAATTTAAATGCAACGTCACTCGCCATATTCTTCTTGAACCCTATTAAGCTTTTATAATTTCCTCGCTCCCCCGCCTCAACCAGTTTTTTTGTCACCTTCACTCCCTGTAACATTACTGTGTACTAGTGGCATTTCCACATTGTATTGGGTGAAATCGGTATGGCCGCGTACACAATTCCGGAAAATACTTGTTGAAAACACAACTATACTTAAACATGAAAACAAGAAAAAAAAATTATTGAAATTATATACATAAAATGATTGATACCTAACCTGATCAAAATAAACTACTAAATCTCCACAAATATTCTTAAATGCCTATAATTGATAACAGAAGCCTTTGGTTTATACCAACGTCTTCCCATACTTAATACTTGTCGTTTTAACTGTCGCGTGGTCATGTGCGACGTCAGGAGCTACGATGCGATTTTCGCTGCCGCGTCTCGTATACATGTGTTAGTCGTTCCTTTCATTATTGTTTCGTCCGTGTATTGGTTGATATATTGAAATGTTATTGTCATCTTTGATAATGGCTTACGTAAGCCGAAAATTTAATTGGTTTTAAACATGTATCAATATGGTGATTTCATTTCGTCTTTCAATGATAATGTTATTAAGCTTATTAGAAATTATGAAAGGAAGTTACTTAAAACAAATAGACAAAACTTGTCTATATTATTTAATTAAACCTGAATCAATGAAAATTGTTGCCTAAATATATATATATATATATATATATATATATATGTGTGTGTGTGTGTGTGTGTGTGTGTGTGTGTGTGTAATACATTATGGTAAAAATGAATGACAAAAAATTAATCTTTAGCATGATTTTTTTAATTTCTGAAGAATTATTTAAAATGCAATTGAAGAGATCTAAAAGACATCACTATTCTAACTTAACTTATAGGAATATGATCCTATTTATTCCGAAATGAAGTAATTTAAGCTTAGTGTTATCATAAACAAATATTTAGATATTTGACAGGTGTATTTTCGAAATGCATGTATTTGTGATTCTATATGACTAATATAGAAATTAGTATGTCAGTTATAACAATAATATGAATCCACGTGTCTCACAAAGAAATCTCTCCAAATTCATAATAATGGATAAAACTGATCAGAACATAACGAGACATTTTATTCGATCTACCAGAAAATATCTACCGGAAAAGAAGGATATGATTTGTGTGTTTTTAATCTGGTAGATATCTGAAGTTTTTAAGCTAAAAACTGACCAATACTTATATACTGTCTTGTATTGCTCGAGGAATTAATTCATCATCATGTTGAATTAATCGCGATCTTGATAACTAAAAATACCTCAGCCTTCGGACGAAACAACATAAAACAATTTCTGTCTAATGAAATAATATAACCAAGGATGCATTTTTTAAAAATATAGTTATGATATCCCATATTACTCAGAATAATGTCGGAGAAAACCTGGAAACTTCAGGATGATTTATTTTCTAAAGTAGTTTTAAGATATTTAACATATTGTGTGTTAAATCATATCATCCATTTCAAATAACTGGAATAGCATTCGCATTCTCCACTTGTCTGATGACTGTAATACTTGATGTCCATAAAGTCTTTTTACAATATAAAAATATTAAAAAGGTAATTGATGAGATGAATTAATCAGAATTGTTCTATGTATTCCGCAGTTATCAAAGTTCTTAATGCTATTTCACTTGTGTTTTTTACGTACCACGTTTATGAAAGAGGTACTGCTAAATGTACCTCTAACAGTAGATTGAAAGGTATGGGACCATTCCCTGGCCACCTAGTTCACGAGAAAGCATTCCATGGATTTCTTTCTATGAGTTTATGTTAAAGATATCGTGTATCGATGAAAGATAAGGGACATCACTGATCTAAAGCAAAAATAACACTGATGCATTTGCCACTATTGATAACATGAAATCGATTACAGTCTTGATGTGTTCCGGGCAACAAATGGCGTCTACATTGACGTGTATTAAATTAGTTAAAAGAAGAAAAAAAAATTCAATATCTACTCCACATTTTGTAGCTATTTCCAAAAATCTGTCTGTTCATTTGCTTTTGGAACAATTTTTAAAATGGTAACGAGAATTTATCTATGGTTCTTGAAAAAAAAGCTGTTCTTGCACATAGAGAGTCAATCTGAAAAAAAAATGACTAAAAATCGTTTAGGATGCAACAAACTTAACAAAAGTATCCATCGTCTAATCAGTAATTTAAAATTTACCTTCAGCAGTTAAATTACACGATTTATATAAGAGATTCTAACGATAACCAAGATTACATTTTCGTAAACTGGCAGTCACCGAAGGGATGAAATCATAGTCGACACAACTGACTAGACCATAGTGAGGGGGAGATGTATAGTAAGTGATCTAACGAGAAGTGAATTGAACAGTCTGAACTAGATTAATAAATTTAAAATGAGTATTAATAAATTCACCACTATAAATATTTATATCGCAAAAACCATTTTTCTTGAATATATTAGGATATATACTTTAATCATTATTAGCATTGATCCGAAAATACGTTAGTTTTTATTATCTCAATTTCAAAACATTTATTATTATTATTTTTATTTTCTTTGATTTCTGACGTTTACACATTTATTTCCGGGACCCGGCCAAGGACCTAAGGTTAGAAATGGCGTCATGACACTTTCCGCTGACAAAAAAAAAAAAAAAAAAAAAAAATTTACATAGATAAAGCCCTTCGTAAAGTGTGGGCTGTACTTGTCAGAACAATTTTTTTGTATCTCCTAGAGGCATGGACTTCCAGGAATCCCTTCAATTAGTCTACTGCAATCTTTTCCAAACAGTCCTAGGGCTCCAATTTCAACAGGAATTGTTGATGCTCCCATATGCCACATTTTCGAGATTTCTATTTCAAGGTCCTTGTATTTTGACAAATTTTTGAATATCTTCAAAGATACGTTGCAGTCAGCAGGGACTGCCATATCAATAAGGAGGCACCGTTTTTGTTTGTGGTCTTTAATAACAATATCAGGCCGGTTGGCCTTGATTGTTCTGTCAGTGTGTATTGTGTAGTCCCATAGAATTGTAACAGGTCCTTTCTCCGTAACCGGGTCTGGGTGGTGTTCATACCAGTGTCTTTCAGTTTCCTTCCCGTAGAAGTTGCAGATTTTCCAGTGCAGATATTGGCCTACTCTCTCATGTCGGGTTTTATATTCAGTGGGTGCCAACACCGTGCAACCTGATACAAGATGATCGATCGTTTCTGGATATTTATCACAGAATATGCATTTTGCGCTGACACAAAATTTTAGTATATGTGCTTGATAATTTCTAGTCAGCATACATTGGTCCTGCGCAGCAAGGATAAAACCTTCAGTTTCCGCTTTCAACCCTGCACTACGTAGCCACTGATGGGTACGGGTTTTGTCTACATCAGCTTGTTTGGTACGGGCAGAGTATTTACCATGAAGCGGTTTATCTTGCCATCGTTTCTGTATCTGGTCGGTTGCATTCGTCTTTCTTTTTGTTCTTTTTTTAGGTATTTTGCAGTTTCAGCCGGTGTATTGTGCTTTAGTTGCATCTTTTACGCCCATTTGAAACTCCATTTTGAATTTGTTGGCTTCTTTTATTACGGAATAAAGACGCTT